GGAACCGGGGATTGAACTCAGGCCCTTGCACTTACCAGGAAAGCACTTATTCTACTGAGCCATCTCCCTGGCCCTTCAAAGATCATCTTAATCTTACTCCTTTGTCTTTTGAGACAGGGTCTTGCTGTACAGCCCAGGCTGACCTCGATCCCTGCACCTCAGCTTCCTAAGTGCTAGGGTTGCAGGCATATACCAACACGCCTGACCACTACCATGCCTGGCTGGTATCTCTTTTTCTTTTTTATTTTATTTACTTATTTATTTTTATATATTTGATATGGGGTCTCACTATGCAGCTCAGACTCTTAGTGATCCTCCTGTTTTTAGTCTCCCCAGCCCTGGGATTACAAGCGTGCGCCACCACATGAGCAGGTCTTGGTGGCTGGCTTAGTGTGCCCCAGAGCGGGGCAGGGGGCAGGGCTGGCATGGCGTGTAGTGCCGGGGATCGAACCCCAATCCCTTCACTTGCCTAAGCAGGGGCTGAGTCTGTTGAGCTATCTTAGCAGCCCTCTGTTTTTCTGTTTTTTGTTTTTTTTTTTTTTAACACAGAAGAGATGATTTATTGTACATACTTTACACTCAGCCAAAAGAGAGAACAGTAGTAGCCCAGAATGCCACAGGTCTGGGGCAGAAGAAACCAGGAGACTGCTTAGTTGGAGCCAGGTGGATCTCTTTGAGGTGGTGTTGGCGATCAGATGGCAATGAAGTTCTAATCCAGCACGCTGTCCAAAACTTGCACGAGCACTGTCAGCCTACAGCATTCTTTCTGTTCTTTTGGCCTCCATGGGTGTACGAGCTGTTTTACTTGGACCTCTGTCTCATCTTTCTTCTTTTACGCTTCAGTCTGCGCATTCGCTTCTTCCTCCACTTGGCTCTCATGGCGCAGAGGTTCCTAAGAAGATGGCGTTAAAGTCGAGAGCTCTTTTTCTATTAAGATGTTAATTTTTTTTTTTTTTTTTGCTTTGCAAGAACTCTGGGTATGTGAAGAAAGTTCACCTATTATCTCAAGAGTTACTAAATTTCCCCCTTTAATATATTTTCTGACTTCATTTTATGTTTGGTTTAGGTTTTATCTTTTGATGTCATGATTACAAAAATTTCCCTACACCAAGATTATAAAATATTCATCTTTTCTTTTTTCCTGTCTTTTTGAGACAGGGTCTCACTATGCAGTTCAGGCTGACCTTAAGCTCACTTTGTAGCCCAGGCTGGTCTTGAACTTGCAATGATCCTCTTGCCTCAGCCTCCTAAATACTGGGATTACACCATACCTGGCCCTGCATTTTCTTTTCTTTTTTGGAACCGGGGATTGAACTCAGGACCTTGC